GGGAGGCCTGGCCTCCGAGGGGATTTGGGAAGCTGGCTTCCCCCCCCCCTCCAAGCCCAGGCAGAGAGGCTGATTGTTCTGCCCCTTCTTTCCTCCCGCTTCGGCTGGAAGCCCCCCTCCCGGGATCTCCGAGGGGAGCCCTGGCCTCTGGGGGATTTGGGAAGCCGGCTTCCCCCCCCCTCCAAGCCCAGGCTGTCATGGCTGATTGTTCTGCCCCTTCTTTCCTCCCTCCCAGGCTCTGTTCATGGTGGTGATCCTGGGCTGGATGTTTGTGCCCATCTACATCAAGGCTGGCGTAAGTCCACAAAGCCGCGAAAGCCCCTGGCGGCTGCTGCTTCTTCCTTCCGGGTGGAGGTTTGCTGCCTCGGCCTCTGAGCCTCCCTGGGAGACCAGACCGCCTTCCACCCCCTCCCTCCTTTGCCCCCTCCCTCTGTGCCCCTCTTCCCCCTAGAAAGGGGGCCGGGCACAGGGTCCTGCAGACGTCTGCATTTGCGCCTCGACCCTCCCTCCCGCTCTTGCCTTTGCAACTGGTATTTGTAAGTTCTTAGCTGGCAGAGACCTTTGCCCCCTGCCCTTTTTAATTCCACCTGGGGAAGCCTCCTGCAAGCAGACAGTGCTTGTTCTCATGAGCCACAGCCTTTTTCCAACACAACTCCCCCCCGCCAGACCTGGCGCTTTACGACCAGGAGACCCTCCGTGGCCACTCGCTGGTGGCCACCCCCACCCCCCTGCAGTGTGCAGATGCCTGCTCCCCTGAGGGGGAAGACAGCTGGCCGGCCAAGCGTTCACCAGGGGCAGGGCTGGAGGGGCCCCAGACAGGCCAGGTGGCCCATCCTGGGTGGAGGAGACCCCTCCACCAGCACCGGCACCCCCAACGCCTCTCCCTCCCTCCCTCCCTCCCTCCCTCTGCAGGTGGTGACCATGCCGGAGTACCTGAGGAAGCGTTTTGGGGGGAAACGGATCCAGATCTACCTCTCCCTGCTCTCCCTCCTCCTCTACATCTTCACCAAGATCTCCGTGAGTCAAGCAGCCTGTCCAGGGTCCCATGAGGGGAAGGTGGCAGGGCCTTCGGATCACACGCACACACGCATGCACGCCTGGAGGGCAGCACAGGAAGGTGGCCCCGTGCCCGCTGGGACTCCCTCAGGAATGCACTGGTGCCCGGCGCCTCCCCTGGCCTGTCCGAAGGCTGGCACCGGGCACCCCATCTGCACAAGGGGGGGCAGGGGGGGTGCAGGAGCCACCCAAGGGGCATCTGTGGCGGACCCTTGCCCGGCTGGCAGGAAGGGGTGGCCAGGTGGGGCAGCCCCCCT